AAATATTTTGTCACTGTAACATCAAAGAGCTATCAGAAATAAACGTTTTTGGAACGTTTTAGATCTCTGGACAAAATAGGAAAAAAGTTATGGTGAAATGAAAATACAAAGAAATGTATGTAATTTTCCACCAATGGCTGTCTGTCTAAATATGTGAAAACTTTGTCACTGTCATGTGAATGAACTACCAGAAATAAACATTTTTGGGAACTTTTACAGCCYTGGATAAAATGCGAACAAAGTTTTGGCCAAATTAAAATGCAAGAAATGTATGTAATTTTCAGCCAAGGCCTTTATACCCTTGTTCTGGTGTTATGATATATTTTAAATCCTTTAACTTCACCAGAATTTAATATTTTCATTTCAAACTTTTACATGTTGTTATWAATAGCACAGGTTCCTGTCAGCCGTTTGGCGGCCATTATGGTAAAGGTGTATAGACTTAACTTTTTGAGATCAATTCTATWTCTAAATATCCATCCCTGTTATTCTCCCATATTTTTTTAGAAAATGCTTAAATTGTTCTGAATTAATAAAATGTTTTGAATTTGAAATTCCATTGCTGTATGCGTTRACAACGAATCTGGGTAAAATACAGCTGTGGACAATTTATTAGATCCTCAGATTGGTWTCTTGTAAGAGCATATTGGTAGGCACTTWGCAGAATTCAAATAAAACAGCAAGCTTAATCTTTTATTTTATTTATTTTGCAGATGGAAAATCTAAATGAGATGAATCAATATCTTAATACTGAAATTGTCTGCACAGTAGCTGGTCTTGGTTATGCAGAGGGAAATGAATATTATAAACATGCTGACTGTTTAGGTAAGTGAATAAGGATGGGAGATGCTTATGCAGTGGACATTCACCGCATGATGTCATTTTCTTTCATACTTAGAGAGTTTGAAGGATTTAATCAAGTTTTTACGTCGTGATGATTCAACTTGTGAAATTAGAAGACAAATGGGTTATTCCAAGATACTTCAAAATGTGAGTGCAGTTTATCTCAAACTATCCTTCAGAAAAAAACACTTGATGTTTTCAGTCATAATAATGTAAGTATAACAATGTTCTGTGGTCAAGGTTATTGTTTAATTGAACTATTTGTAATTTGTATTTATACACACATATAAATGCTAAATCTTATATTGCTATGTACTAATGTTATTGTTATAAAATACATTTTATGTATGTAAAGGACCTTGTAGCCATTTTAAAGAGCTGCACCCCAAAAGAGACAGAAATCTTCAACATGGTCATCAGGTABATGTAATTCTAATGCCAGTTATGTTTAGAAACAGTAAGATACTAAGCCACTTGTATTGCCCTATAAAGCTTGAGGAACATTTACATTTAAGGTTGATGGTCAACTTGACCCAACCAGCTGTCTTATGCTGGGAAGGTCAGCAAGTTCCAGAAGATAAGACTGGTCAACATTATCATTTAGAGTTGGTCAATCATTTGCAGGCTTATAAAGAGGTAAATACACCAAGGCAATCTGTGTCATTAAATAAAAAATCAAAATTTCAGATATTACACTAATAATAATATTTGTAATTAGCTGCATAAATTATGCATAGATTTTTTTTTGTGGTCAATACCTAAGAGGCACTAGCCATATTGTCATCACCCTTGAGTGAGTGTAATTTCGGGAAAAGCTCGTATTCCATTCGGTTCCTCTCGGGATAAGCTCGTATTTCCACTCGGCTCCTCTCAGCAGTTGGAACAAAATGGCGGACAGACGACGGCAAACAGTTTTCTCTTTTTAAATGGCTCTAAAACTGATTATTATCCAACGGACATGAAAGGAGGTATATAATTCAAGATTATTGGCTGATCTATGTATAAATTTTACATTTTTATCGGCAACTCGAGCACAACAAGTGTTCGATGCAAAATATTCATAAATTTTCATAAATAAGAAATCACATGGATATATAAGGTTCATGTATTTACAAAAGAACTATCATTCAGTGGAATAAAATCATATTAAACCTCATCTGAAAAATATGGATGCCTTTTTTGCGCTCAAAGTCAAATCGCCTGACCATATAACCTCCAGCACCTATATACATTCATTGTTCAATATAAGCTTACAGAAAGTGTTTTTTTTTTTAAGGATTTGTGAAACTGTCAAGAAAAAATATATATATTGAGACACCAAAGTTGATATTTGAGTCAAACTATTTAGTTGTGATTACTGAGCAAATGATTTTTGGGATATGTGTCACATGGAACATGTTTTTGCCAAGGCTTCATTTATGACAAAACCAAATGATTTTCGCAACAAATACTGCATTTAATAAAAAAATTCTGGTATAAGTAGTAGGCACTAGCCACATGCAGTCTTAGACTGYGTATTTTTTTTTATTTGAGCTTGAAGTTATGTGAAGATTTATCCTGTGTTCTCATTAACTGCACTCTCTAAACCATATGAATGTAAATTTACAAAAAAATCACAAATAAAGCACAATGAAGTTGTGTAGTTATAGTTAAGTACAAAGACAAGTTGTTTATTTGTGTATACTAAGATCTCTTATGTATCTGTATGATGATTAAAATTTGTGTAGCTCATCACCATCACTGGGTTAATATGATGAAATCAATCCATATGGTTCATAGCAGCCATCAAACAATTCATATCTGATCATACAGTAGAGCGCAGCTTGAAACTGGTCCTTTTTTGTCTGAAAGAGAATACTTGAAGTTAGGGAGAGAACTAAAAAACTTAGTTGGTTATTCCTATTTAACTGTTTCAACTTCATTATTTATCAGGCATTTACTGATATGGAAGTTATGGGATCAATTGGAAAAGAACTGGCCAAGCTTTTACAAAAGGTGAATTAAATTGAGATGCTACATGTAAACAAATTCATGTACATTCATTTGAAGGAAGCGTATATTATATATATATTTATCATATAATTATCTATGAAATACCTATATTTCTCCATTTCGTAAACTTGATATCTTCACTAGTGAAAATAACACATTCGAGGTTTTTCTATATAGTGGAAGTAAGAAAAAAGGTATTTTATGACATAATTTGCATTCATATCCAATTATATGATAAACAGAATATTACATGGTTGCTTGGAGATACGAATTTTATCTTCTCGTGTTGAAAATCGCTGCGCTCACTCGTAAAACATTGTTTCCACCACTCAAAAATAAAATCCGTATCTTCACGCAAACGTGTAATATCCTCTCTCTMTATATATATATGTTATATATTTTTCAGAGAAAATGATTATGTTTTAAAATATCTTTTACTCCAGCACTTTAAACTGGATAACTACATGGCCGGATTGTTCAAAGCCTGATTAGTGCTAATCCTGTGTTAACTCAGAAAACCTATGAGTTAACCCTGGATAAACATTTTGATAGATTTGTGATCTTTTTGTAAGAAGAATGCAACAATCAGATAAAATTACCCATGATGCACCTGGTACATTGTTATWTGCTAGTGGTGATCAGTTTTGCAAATAACTGTGTCTAAATTACACAAAAAAATGTATTCATATAATATTGACCCATGTTTTTTTATTGACTTCAGGACTGGGAAAGCAGAGATGAAGAAGACTATTTACTCATTGAAAGGATTTTACTTTTGATTAGAAATATCTTACATGTGCCTGCCAATCCACAAGCAGAAAAGGTATTGTAATATAATAATATGGTGACATTTAAATCAATAACAAATAATAAATCATATTTATTTGAATTGGCAAAAATAGAACATTAATCAAGCATAACATGAGTGACACACTTGTAGATTCACATTGTATTTTGTAATGTTCAATGTTCTCCTTAAATTGCAGAGAACAGATGATGATGCAAGTATTCATGACCAAGTGATTTGGTAATTTACACTTGTATTACTCAGACTTGCAGCTAAAGTGTCAATTAAAAAAAAGTTTTTTCTTGTTAAAGAGCCCAAACTGAAGAGGGTCTAATTGAAGGGCTGGATGYGAAAATGGCCTAAGTGACGTTTTAGGGTATTTTTGAAATGTTAGAACTATAAAATACTTCAATCAAGTATTTTCAATCTAAATTCACATGTTTGCTACTTATTTATTTATTTCTTTGAAAAGAAAAAAAAGCTGCTTAAAATTATGAACTTCTCCCTCCCCTCCCCTCACCGTACCTGAGAAAGGTACCTGTAGAAACAACTCCCYYTCCCCCCAAAGTTTGCAATGTATGCTTACTGATCGTTTAAGTTGTGTGTAAAATGACGATCGATAACATGGATAATATACTTAGTTTGAAATTAATGTGAAAGGTTAAACGACTAGCAAGGTTTTGAAGCTAATTTACTACAGTGAAAATACCACT